TATTTGATTTTGCAGGTAGACTAGATAGGCAGGTAGTCGGAGGAGGCTGTGCGTGTGTGTGTGTGTGTGTGTGTGTGTGTGTGTGAGACAAGGTCCGCTGGCTTTCTTAGGGAACACATGATTGTACAAGATGGATATTGCTAAGAAATAAAGAGAAAGGATTTCTGAAATTGTTGAATGTGGCTGCTCTGGAATATATGCTAGGTGTTGAACTGTTGGGTTGGTCCTGCTGTATGCACCCTGAGGGAAACCATTAAGAGACTCACCTGCCCTAGAATTGTGTGGTTTTATATATATATATATATATATATATATATATATATATAAAAACCACACAATATATATATATATATTGGGAATACCTGCCCAGATATTTGGGAGGAACACCCCACCTCTTTGAGCAAGGGTCTCTTTCTCTGCCCCCACGTGACAGCACTGAGCTATTCAACAACCACCAGTAATTTCACATAAAAGGAGCGAGTCACTTGCTCCTCAATACCTGGAAGTACATTTTTTTCCCTTTCAAAGATTGAATGAAGAGGTGAGAGTGCAAAGAAACAATGAATTTAAGCTGCTGGATAGTAGGACATTAAAGAAAACTGTTGCTTTGTGCTGCCTAAGCAAAGGAATATGAAAGCTACTTTTGCTGTCTGGTTAGTGGAGCAGGTCTCGAAAAATGGTAACAAGGAAAAATTGGGTGGTTGTAGGGACATATCAGGTTTCTGACAGCTAACATACAGTACTCAATAGAACTTTTACCTGGGACTGATGTCACAGACAACTACGGAAGATTTATTGTTCATGTTTTTTACATATTTAAAATAGGGATCCTGTCCTTTTAATTCCTCAAAGTATAACTAAAGGCAAAACCTTTTTTTTTTAGTTTTGGATAGAGTGGAGATGGATTAGAATGCCTGTCAGTTTTTTTTTTTTTTTTTGCTGTTTTTGCTATTTGTTCTGTTTACCATTATCATTGAAAGTGAAAGTAAAAGAAAATCCCAAATTTTGGGTTGTCCCCAGAAAAGTAATAGAGGGGAAATTTTCCAATGGGGACACTAGTTATTGTGACCTGGGGGTCCCCAAGGAATTTCTTTGATTTGCAGGGATTTCCTCTCACTTCCTATTTGGTTACTGGACAGAAAGTGAAGAGAAATCTCTCCAAATGGGACAGGGTTTTTAACCATCCCTTGCTCTATTCAAAATGGAGAAAAATTTTTTGCTTATAGATCTGTTTTAAGCTAAAGAAAAAGTAAATTTAAAAAATCTCCACTCTGCACGGGTTAACTGCACTTGTTTTTTTTTTTTTGGGGGGGGGACTGGAAAAAGGTCAATTACTTATTTTGTTCTCTCACATTGCATGACTAGACCCCAAATAATTTTTTTCTTTACTGCTTGACTAGTCACAGTTCTACAATGTCATCAGATACAATGCAGGACCAATGGTCCTGCTTTGTACATGTGGATAATGAAAGTCAGTCCACATCCTGGGAGTGTCAGAAACTGGGTTAGAGAGACAGCTTTCAGGGGAGCAAGGAATAAGGTAAGTACTTCACCTCATTTATTATCCTCTAAACAAAACAATCAGTTAACACTTGCAGAGTGGATGGGTTCAGCTTTAAAGTATATATGAACTCTTACCTTGTAAAACAACTCATTCAGCTTAAAAAAGAAATGCGAGGCAAAACATTTGTGTATATATATATATATATATATATATATATATATATATATATCACATGACCTCTCAGCTGCATAAAGGGCTTAGAGAGCTGGGGTGGAGACTGCAGGGTGGAGTCAGAGAAACAGCAGTACACTGATCTTCCCAATTAAGAGCTCTGCTGGCGGGGCATCTCAACACAAGTCTTAGCCATCAGAGGACCGGCAGGTTGTACTCCCAGCACAGCCAGAAAACTTACCACGGTGGGATCAATGTGCATGGTCAGTTTGAAATAGGAAAGCAGGGAGACTGGCAGGAACACCAGATATTTCACACAAAGGAAGCAATACAAAGAGAACAGGATACGTTTTAATAAGTACATGGTACAATAGCTACATATCAGGAATATGAAATGTTAGGGTAACATACACTTTAGGCAAATGAAGGGAAAGGATGTCTATGGCAGTTAGGGGTAATTCTGTTATTATTAAACTTGTCCTGGATGCATGAAATTTGATTTAGTTTTAATTTAGTTTTATTGACAACAAACAATTCCAGCTAAAAAGCAGATCTTCAGCAACCTCAGAAATGACTCACTCTTTTATTGTGATGTGTTTTTGTTTTACTTCTGCTTGTTTATCTTGGTGATCCATTTTCTAAATTATCTGATATACAGATATATTAACTTAACTGTTTTTCCAAGAGCTTGATTTTAGCTTGATGAATCAAAAGTCAGACTCATACTGCTTACACCAACCTATTCATTTTAACAGATTATTGCAAACATAACAATACTTTTGAAAAGTGTTGGCCTTTAATGAAATCATAGTTGTAGGCAAGGCTATTTTGACAAGTGACTAATTTTAAGACTACATATTTAACTGTCACTATATTATTACAATCACATAATGTCTTTACTTATTTTTTTAAAACAATAATTATTACCTATTAGTCTTCCAGCACATGACTAGTATGGCAATTAGGCTATCATCATCCATTTAATCAAGTAAGTACATCTAATAAGCCAATCTCTCGTCTCCCCTTATTTTGCAAAGCACTGCACACATTTTGGTACAATTTAAGCCCCTTATAATAATATACATTTTTAACAGCAATAAGATTTGGGTGGGTTGTAATTTATTAGGCAGAATGGGAATTATCAAGGGTAAACATAAATTTCCATTGGTCCTGTTCTACATTTTATATATTACATGTATAATGTGCTGATGAAAAACACATCAGATCTATACTATAACTAACACAATTCACAGAGGTATGGCAAGAACCACAATGCAGAGCCCCATGCCCAGTGGTCACTTTCCAGGCTAGCCAGTCAATCTGGGTTCGGGTTTTGCCTTCAAAGCTGTTGCTAAGGGTAAGCTGGATAGCTGATAAGTAAAAACTAGGTCAAGCAGCATCAGCTCTTGATTGAAGTCAAGTCACTGAAGAAAAAATATCTGCAGTGTACAGATTATCTTTATTGAAGAAAAAGTTAAATTAAATAATAAGAAAAAACGGTTATTAAACATTTAGTTAGAGTTTTTCTCAGCAGAGCTAAATAAAAGGGGTCTGACCTTCTAGGACATTAGCAACATTAGTTGGATTAGGGGTTACACAGGGCATAACTTTACATCATTTTTTGTTTGCCAGTGTCCCAACCTACTGAAGGCAGAGAATAAACCAAATGTTTGAGAATTGACTACAATAATGTCCCTTCAATGCACTCTAAAGAAAAAAAAATATGTTATTCTCTTAAAGTGGACATGAGGTCTAAAAAAAATTAAGATTTGCTATGTTATAGTGAACATCTAAAAATGTTACATTTTTCTTAAGCAGTACCCTGAAAGATTTACCTTTTTGCCTTCAATTCCTCGTGGAAAATAGTACTGCTCTTCCTGTGTTTAGACCCTCTTGGGCCTTGATCTTCATAGTTGTATATCTGCAATATGAAATGATCTAAACACTGCTGCTTCTAACTGCTAGTTTCACAATCACACTAGCAAAATAAGGAGGCACACACCATGTATATCAACCACATCCGCTAATGAACTAAGCTATAGTTCCCTCATCTTGGCTATGCCCCTTTGATGAATTTCACCCTAATTGGGCTTAGTCTATGACCAAGCTGGCCAAGATGCCGGGCTGTAGTTGAAGCCTCTGTTAACTCATCAGCGGATGTGGTTTATATATGTGATGTGTGCCCCCTAATTTTGCTATTGTGATTGTTTCATGGAGTAGGATGTGCTCCTAGAGGGGCTGGTACTCACTGTGGGAGGAAAAAACAACAAAAAGATGAATGGAAGGCATTTGGGCAGTAATATTTTTTAAATGTGGTGCTAGTTTTTAGATTTGGTGATGTAAAAATACTGTGTTGCTTACTGTTCTCCTTGCTGCAAAGGAAGTTGTAGCTGAAAACCTGCAGTGCACAGATAATCCTGCTCTTGCTTCATTTATTCTGTGATTCCCTGTTTTCTAAACCTCACCTGCTGCTTGTGTCTTTTTTGATTAGACTTTATTTCATCAATGGGAAGCTCTGGCATACAGAAGCAAAGCCCATTTATCTGTACATAGAAAACACAGTACAAAACAAGGCATGGTAAGTCAGTAATGGGGAAAAGATCAGCTGCTGGGAATCCATAGGCAATACAGGTGACTAGTCTACTTGCCGTTTTTGGGAACAGCTTCCACAGAATTCCAATCCTTTTTAAGTCTTTACTACATATTAGAATACATTTTGTTAAATATACAATTGGTAGGATTTACTAAAAAATTAGAATAATAAATATTCCTACAAAATGTCCAATATGTAAAGTGTTACTAAACCTACAACAGTAAAATCAGTCTGTATATGCATTAAATCATGCTTGTTATTCTCACTGTGGAACCTAAGGGGTTAATCCACTGCATTGTGTAAAAATTCTGTTTGATCCTGTCTTCTCTGATCCTCCCCTTCTTCCAGTGTCAACCTCTTATCTCCTGATAAGACATATCATGTGGAGACACTCTGCACATGCTCAGTTTGGTGTGTATTGCTAGAGACGTTTATTTTTTCTTGGGAGAGTGCATCTGATCATCACAGGGCCAGTCAGCACTGTCCAGACAGAGGGTCAGGGGCTCTGAATCCTCCTAAAACAGAAGGAAAACTCCTTCTACAAGCTTTAGCCAGTGCTCTGCTGAACACTGATTGATGTCACAAGACTGCTCTAACTGCTGATGAGAAAAGGTAATTAGCAGTTTATATTTACTAGAATAATTGCACTTCCATGTTATGTGTACTGTGGGAGACTGGACCAAGTGAATGCAGGGTCCTGGGTTTAGCAACATTTTAATGACATAGTAAGTACTACACTCTTTTTGAGCAGATAAAATAATTCAATTTCTGGCAGTTTTTCAAGTGCCATTTGCCTTTCTTTTGCACCGAAACACAATTTTTCCCTTTTCTTGTCTGGCGAGTTGGTCGTCTTTTCCAGTTCGTGAAGGTAGTCTTCTCTCCTTTACTCCATTCCCAGTTGCCACTGTTGGCACGGTTAGTTAGGCCTTCAAAAATAAATAGAATCAATCAATTTTTATTTGAGCAAAGGATTATTATTTATAACAACATTCTGCTGAAGTTTCAAGAGATTTTTTTTTTATCAGTCTTAGGTTCTGCTGTTAGTAAATAAGAACTGGTATATGCTATATGGCTTCCCTCCCCAGGTGCATCTATGTTTGATGCTTTTTTCTTGCTTAGACAGACCATAACCAGTTGTAAACTTCAATCTGTTTATAATGTCAGTTAAAGTGAAACTACACTGCATCTGATCACCAAAAACGCTATTTATTCCTTTTTATTGATCAAAGCAAACTCAGCCAGCCATTGATATCTGCATGCTTTATTCTGCTAAGAAATCACTTTGAAAAACACCCACAAGCATTTCTGGTCATGAACAGCTTGAATAGGGGCAGGTGATTCATGGTACATTTACTTCCTGCATTCCATCTGCCCTTAGCTTAGGCATGCAGGCAGGAGGGTGTGCTCACCTGAGAGAATCCCTCCTCCTCTCCTGAATACTCCTGGGATGTATGACATCATTTTGGACTAGACCAGTGGTCTCCAAACTGCAGCCCGGTGGCCAGATGCGGCCCTTTGCTTGCTTTTGTCTGACCCTTGAGGCATTAGTCCTCCCACTGCAAGCAACAGTGTGGCATAGTTTCTCTCACTGACACCGACAATAGGGCACTCCTCCTCCTATTGACAACAATGATGGGGCACTATTCACCCATTGATACCAACGATGGGGCACTAATTCTCCCATTGATACTAATGATGGGGCACTATTCCTCCTATTGAAATCAGTGATGGGGCACTATTCCTTCATTGATACCAATAATGGGGTACTATTCCTTTCATTGATACTAATGATGGGGCACTATTGATCTCATTGATACCAATGATGGGGCACTATTTCTCCCATTGATGCCAATGATGGGGCGCTATTTCTCCCATTGATACCAAGAATGGGGAACTTTTCCTCCCATCGTTACTAACGATGGGGCACTATTTTCCCAATTGATATCAATGATGTGGCACTATTGCTCCTATTGATACAAATGATGGGGCATTATTTCTCCTATTGAAACCAGTGATGGGGAACTATTTCCCCATTGATGCCAATGATGGGGCATTATTCCTTTAATTGAAACTAAGCATGGGGCGCTATTCCTCCTGTTGATATTAATGATGGGGCACTATTTCTCTCATTGATACCAATGATAGAGCACTATTTCTCCCATTGATTCCAATGATGGGGCACTATTTCCCCATTGATACCAACAATAGGGCACTATTCCTTTAATTGATAGTTATGGTGGGGCACTATTCCTCCCGTTGATACTAACAATGGGGCACTATTTCTCCTGTTGATACTAATGATGGGGCAGTATTTCTCCCATTGATACTAACGATGGGGCACTACTTCTCCCATTGATACCAATGATGGGGCACTTTTCCTCCCATTGATACTAAAGATGGGGCACTCTTACTCCCCTAATACCAATGATGGGGCACTATTCCTCCCCCTAATACCAATGATGGGGCATTGTTTGCTCTCTCTGACGCCAGGACATTTTCTTCTCCCACTGGTCACAGTCCGGCCCCCCTAAAGTTTGAAGGACAGTAAACAGGCCCTTTGTTTGGAAAGTTTGGAGACCCCTGGCCTAGACCTAAACAACTGAAGAAATGTAAAAAAAAAATGTCTCCACAAATCATAGCAGCATAAGGATTAAAAATAGTCAGTGATATTTGAGAGAATGAAAATCAACTTTAAAGCAACCTGGCTAAAAAAAATATTTTTTTCTGTTCAAAAGATTTTTATTTTAGTTTTCAAAATTCACAGTGAACAGGTTGTAGAAACAGGACAAATAGTGCAAAACAATAATCTTGTACATCAGAATACGGCCACCTTGATATGGCCAGGTTCACAGACAGCACAGTTGGAGATAATCAGCCAATGAAAGCAGTTATAATGGTATTTGCTAAGAGCAAGATATCTCTTATGTAAGAACAGGAGAGTACGGAGAAGGATGCAGAGGGTGAATAGATGGGCAAGAGAAAAGATAAGGGCAGAGGAGGGTGGAGGTATTTCTGGGGGGCCTAAGTCTTTGTGAGAATGGCTACGTAAGACGTACGTGCTTCATTATGGTTTGTGCACCAAGGAATCAAAGTTAGCTGGGAGGAATGTATCTATCTACGGCTGCCAGCTTTTAGTATGCTTGGGGATACAGTCATAACATCAATTTTGTCATGAATTATGGCACATATGACACAATACTTGACCTCAGGTAGACTGAGTGTGGGTTTTTTTAGTCAGCTGCCATTGTCTGTTTGGCAGCTTTAGTAATTAGTAAAAGAAGTTTAAAGTAAGCAATGGCAATGTCTGGGGGACATTAATTCAGGATCACTATAAACTGGTCTTGGCAGTCCGAAACCTGTGAACTTCCGGGCACACCCACCAGACTTGTAGAGACATTCCCTGATTTTTACAGTCCTGAAAGTCCTCTGGAGGATAGTTGACATTTAGAAATGTGTGCTGGGACCAGGGACCAGTGGGAGAGAACCTTACATGTGATTTTTTTTTTTCATTCTTGGAGCAGGACTTAGTAGGCAAACAGATATCAGTCAAAAACAGCCTATTTTTTAAATAAAATGTTCCTATTTAACCCTATATTACCTCATACTTTACCCTAATCAATCCTAATTAACTTCTGCTTCCCCTTCTCCATAAAGTTATTATTTATTATGGTCATTTTGTTGTTTATTTCTATTTTTCTAATCATTAATATTCATTTCGTCTGCTAATTTTTTTAGTGTCACATAAAAAAAGCACAACATTGCAAGAAAGCCCTTATTTTATTTGTAAATGACTTTGCAATGCATTGTACCAAAACCCCCAAACCATAATTGTAATGCCAGTTTAAGCAGGGCAAATTAAAAGTATAAAATGTATATATTTTATCTCCAATAACAGTAACACTTTCACTTACTGTAAAATCAGTTTTTTTGGAGTACATTACGGGAAGAATTGGCCAGCCAGGTATAACTCCAATCCCAGCATGCTTTAGTTTTGTAGAAAAGCAGTGCTTTAATTCGAATGGGCTACTGTGCCCATGTTTCCTGCACAAAAAAAGGTGCTTGCACCTTTTTAAAAATGTGGCCCGCAGGGTAACCACATGGCCCTTGTGACAATGCAGTTCCTGCACCCGCAATCACGGTGTGGGTTGAGATGCATGGGGGTGCCATTCAGAATAAATTGGAGCCCTGCGTGTCTTGTGAGGGGAGTGTGATTTGGCTGCTGGTGGTTATGGTGCGGGAACAGCTGCAATTGCTGCACCCGCAACCAGCCCGCATAGTGTGAATCAGGGCTTAAGAGTAAATCACAGACACAAAGGGGTGGGATCTGTGTCTCCAAATGAACTCAAAGAAACATTTTATGCTGGACTCGGGATCAGTAGCAATTTTGAGACAATTTGGATGTTCAAAAGCAGTCCAAATTAGGGGTGGGCAACACAGCATACAAATTGTAATGCAACAATAAAACTGGGGTCTGCCTGCAGCAATAACAAGAAAGGAGCTGTTTTTCTGATGGAAGTATTTAACTCTTTCGCTGCCAGGCCTTGTGCTCCACTTTTAAACCCAGCTGGCCATTTTTGCAATTTTTCCATTGCTTTTACTTTACTTTACAGCTTTCAGATTTGTAAAAGACCACCCAAGCCATATATATTTTGAAAGAACATGACCAGTAGAATAAAAAGAAGGTGCTACTGATTTTTAAGACTCTGTGATATTTGTGCAAATGTTTATCAAAGTAATATGTTTGCTAAAATTCACTAAATTCATTATTAGCAGATACAAACACGGCATATTTTACAAAATTCCTGCTAAATGTAAAAGTTTAACCTGTATTGAGTTATTAAATAACAAATGTTTGTCAATTTTAAATTGCACCTTTTTGAAAAATGGTGAAAATCGAACATACGCAAAAATGTAAAAAAACAAATCTCTCAAAAATCTGAAGGTTTACATTTTTCATTTACAGCTTTCAGAGTTTGTAAAAGACTCCCTAAACCATGTATTCTCTGAAAGCACATGACCGATAGAATAAAAACAAGGTGCTACTGATTTTTAAGGCCCCACGATATTTGCACAAATGTATATCAAAACGATATTTTCACAAAAAATACACAAATATCATTCTCAGCAGATACAAACACTCCTGCTAAATTCCTATTAATTATAAAAGCTTAACCTGTATTGAGTTAATAATTACCAAATATTTGTCAATTTTAAATTGCACCTTTTTGCGAAAGGGTGAAAATCAAACGTACGCAAAAGTTTTCATTTTTCACTTACAGCTTTCAGAGTTTGTAAAACCATATATTTTCTGAAAGCATATGACAAGTAGAATAAAAAGAAGGTTCTACTGATTTTTTTTAGGCATCACAAGAGTTGTGCAAATGTTTATCAAATCACTATTTTCCCTAAAAACCACTAAAATCCTTATTTGCGCACAAAACCACAGCATAACTTACAAAGTTCCTGCTAAATTCCTACTAAGGCTTTCTTTAATGTAGTGTACTAAAGCATATGTCCATGGAGGGCTGCGTTTACCTGCAGGGTAGGCACGGTACCTGTACAGGCAGTCCTATTCACGTTGACTGGAATGCAGCAGCTACAAGAACAGATCTGACATCCATGCGGGTGTAGGTCCATGGCCCCAAACACAATGATGCATGGAACACCTGTGCATCCCTGTGCAGCTAACCATGGCCGTGCTGTAGTACACCCTGCATGAACGAGGCCTTTTGCCTTGTTTAGACTTGCGGTTGGGGGCAGCAAAAATGCGAGGTTGAGCTGTGTTTTTTCCACCTGCCCAAAAGGGGGGGGGCCCCTTAAGTTGCAATAGGCAGTGGACAGGATGATGATGCAGTCATGCTTAAGAAGCAAGGGGGATTTAGACACACATCTAAATCCATCCTTACTATGTTTTTTTATTTCTATTTTTTTTTCAAATCTTTTTTATTTTTTTGAGACATATTTTTTAATATTTTAATTTTTGGAGCGTTTTGGAGATACATCAGGGGTCTAAACAAACCTCTTTCTCTTTTTTGAAACAGAGAAAGGGACTGAAGATAGCTGCTTCTGCAAGACGCGCAAGGCTGCCATTCATTCTGAATGGCACCCCCACGCATCTAAACCTATGGCGTGATCACCACAGGATGCAGGAACCGCAGATCAAAAAGACCATGCAGTTTCCCTGCGGATGCGTTTTGGAAAAAGTGCATGCACCTATTTGCGTGAAATGCCGACACGGCAGCCTATTCAAATGAAAGGGCTGTCATGCCTGTGCAAATGTTAGTGTGAACCTAGCTTTACTATTTATTTTTATTTTCTTTTACAGTTTAATTTATTTATTTTTGCTAACTAAATACATTTTTAAAATATTTTTACATTTTTTTTTATAAGGTGGGGGGCGTTGGAGAGACATCAGCGGTCTAAACAAACCTCTAATGTCTCTTTATTAAGACAAATAAAGGGACTAAAGACAGTTTCTTTCTCTGCAGCCTGAGTTGCACTTTGGGTGAATTAGATAGGAGTCTTTATAGACTCCTTTCATTCATAAAATAAAACATAGTACACAGTCTTTACTATGTTTCATTCACAAATTGACAGATAGTAAACACAATCAATGAATACAGAAGTGATCTGTACTGATTGCTGTCTGAAATAATTGAGGAAAGGAAAGGGGCTGGTAAACATGTTTACCAGCCCCCCCCCCGCTCTCAGAAACTCAGAAAGGAAAAGGAAGGGGGCACCCTCCCACTTTCCATGCTGACTGCTATCTGTCAGTGGCTGCAGCCGGCGAGAGGAGGAGGAGGGAGATCTGGCCAGCTGCAGGGAGGGGCGCCCAGACACAAGAGAGGAGGGGGGCACTAAAGCACTAAAGGGGGGGTCAGAGCAGCAGGGGGGTACCTGTCCTGGCAAATGGATCCCTTTGTGGCTGCCCAGCAGCACTGAAAGCTGGCGAGAGAGAGGCAGAGGAGGGAAGCTGAAGAAGCTGATAGCTGCAGGGCAGCCATAGAGGGATCGGGGTTTGCAAGAGGGGGTTCAGTGCTGGGGGGGTAACCAGAGCAGGCAGGGTATCTTAGCCGCTAATCAGAGCTAGCCTTTTGTTCAGCAGAGTTTCTGCTATAAGTTTATGGTCTTTTAAGTGACCATGAGCTTATAGCAGAGAAGGAATACAAGTTTGTATGGCGTACAGATCTGGCCAGCTAAAAGCAGTGCTGTAGGTCTGTATGCTGTACGGACCTGGCAGTGAAAGAGTTAAATACTCAGTTCTTCTTTAGCAACATTTAACACTACCCCCAGAGTCGCTGATTTCTCTAGCTTTCTAACTAACAACCTGTATAGGGGACAGAAAGCTTGAGGGGAGTGTGCAGGAGCCTGACACTGCACCAGCAATCCAATAATCACAGGTGCAAATTGCTTTGAAAGCTCCTTCAAAAATATGTACATTTATTATGTTTTGGCCTGTAAGTAGATAAAGTCATATAGCATGGGCCACATCCAGACAACTGAGGAAAATCTCCTTCTAAAGAACAGGAGTTGGGCAAGGGGTGGAAGAATGATACCCCGAATAAGGTGAATAGCTGAATTCAACTCGGACAGAAAGGACACTGTAGGCTTCAAAACTACCTTATCTATGTGTAAGACCACAAAGGGTTCATTGTAGGACAAGGCTGCCAGCTCAGAAACACGCCTTTCAATGGTGATTGATTCAAAATAAAACTACAAACAAAACTCCACTAGGGGGCTAAATGTGTCTGAGAGAGGACCTTAGAGTGTCCTAAAATTGTGCTGGAACAATAATGTCATTTTCATTTTCCTTTGGAAATAATGTGTAATCTCATGATACATGTGAGAGCCTGTTTGGGAGAAATAGATCCCAGAGACATGAGCATCCACAGCTGAGTGGTATCAGCAACTTCCATGGAAGCTATATGTGACTAGTCTAGGTTCACACTTAACCGTTTTCCGCAGCGTTTTGCAGAAACGCACTACAGTCCATTTAACAAGATTTCCCATGGGACACGTTCACATCTCCACGTTTCACCCGGTGCGTTTTCTGGAAAGGGTCAGGGACTTTTTTAAACGCAAAAAGTTGAATTTTTGGTTCTATAGACTTCAATGGAGACGCAGCAGAAAAGCATGTAGTGCATTTTTGTGGCGTTTTTGATGCGTTTTACATTTTAATTTGCCTAGCAACAAGAAAAAATGAAAAATGTTTCAAAAACGCATGTGCAAAAACACAAAACGCACCGCAAAAAGCACTGCAGAAATGGATCAAACACAAACTGCATAGGTGTGAAGATGTAGTTTTTCTCATCTATGTAGTGTGAATGTGAAGGACAATTATAAGATTTTATTTTGGATTAAAGATACATGCCTATCCAAAAGGACTTTCTTCTACTGAAGTTCCACAGCCAATCCATCTGTTCTTTACTGAAGATATCTACAAGTGTTCCATGGTACCTGTATTGGAGCAAAAGAGGGAAAACATGCACATAAAAAATTAGCCCTTCTAGATTTTAATGTGTCAATATAACTTTTACAACATCATATCTCTAATGTTCATACAAAATAATTTTCAGTTGCCCTGTCCTCAGGGGTGGACTAACTATTTGGAAACTCAAGGCACTGCCTGAGGGCCTGGGGTCAGTAGGGGGCCCCATGAGATGCCCCTGGTACCTTTTTCATAGGCTTTTTTGAGTTTGGGCAAGGACACAGGGGCCCCATGATCCTCTATTGCACGGGGGCAACATGAGTTGTCAGTCCGCCCCTGCCTGTCCTACTGTGCCGTAGGCATGGTCAACACTATCTGGTAATAGTATGGCTCAGTCTGACAGATGTAGGCATTAAAGCTGAACTCCAGGACATAAATGAATGCAGCTCTTGTACCTACTTAACTGTTTTTTAGATTGAGCTAGTGTAAGCTAATATACTTCAATTTGACTCTATATCATGCTTTTACAGTCTCCTATACAGCATGTGTCAAACACAAGACCTGCGAGCCGAATGCAGCCCGCCAGGCCACATCATGTAGCCTTTGCACCTCTCCAGCAGCTGCAGCATCCCCTCATTTCCACCCCCACCTTGTCTCAGCAGAAGAGAGGACAGAACTCCTCCAACAGATCCTGTGCCTCTCTATGCAGCCTCTCCTTGTCTCAGCACTGAGCAGTCTCCAGCTGACTGCAGTCCTTCTTTGGTCCTCCTCCAGACCCTGCACTTTATGCTTCATAGCTCCACCCTAAGCTTTTCCCAGCAGTAGTAAAAGGTAAGGGGGGGGGGGGGGCGCACTGTGATGTTAGGGAGGGTGGGGGAATCTTTACTTCTGATGACGGGGGATCGGGGAGAGGGGCTCTTGACACCTGATGTAAGGGGGGGGGAGGTACTCTGGACATCCAGTCTTACAAATACAACTGGCCCTTTGAGAACAACCAAAATGCTGATGTGGCCCACCAGCAATTGTGTTGACAAAGAACATACTGCTAGGAGGTGAAAACAGACTACACCACTATATTCCTCGTCTGTAAGTGGTGTCATACATATTGATTTGTTGTGTGGGAGGGCTGTGTAAATCTCAGGACTGGATTAAAGACAACCATTTTCCTTTGGCAAATACGCCTCTCCATTATATATATTACAGCAGTGTATTTATTTTTTTTCGCCTGGAGTTCAGCTTTAAGCTTTCAAATTAACGATCCAGATTGTCAGTCCCTTACAAAAGTGGTAACTCCACTTTTGTGCAAAAAAAATTAACAAATAACAAAAAAAAAAAAAATATATATATATTATATATATATATATATATATACTGTAGTATACAATTGCAGCACAAGTCATATTATATTTGAATGTATTAAAAATTAATTAATTAATCTGCAGTGCTGTGATTTTCTGTAAAATTAAATAAAATATGGCAACCTAAAGGCGTTCTTTACACAGATGGTGTACAGAATGTCCCCACCAAAATGTAATTTCCTGCTTGTGTGATTGACTTACTGATTTTCCCAGAAGTCTGCACTAAGATGCAAGTCAGATTTTGGGCATCTCTGGCAACAAAAATGTAATTTGTGGTGAGATACTTGCAAAGGGAAATCATGTCTAAAGACATGTAGACCCTGCCATTTTCCTCATTAGAGCCCTGCAGGTGTGGCTGCTAATTGATAATTATTAACTATGAAATTACTCCCATTCTCACACACTTTGCACATGATACAGACAAACAGCTATTACTTTAGGATAACAAAAGGTAGGAATCTGCAACAAAGTTTATGTAGCACCCCTCTAGATAGCCAGGGGGAGCTAGTGTTCAATTTTTAGTTAGGAGGGCTGAGCAGCAGCCTGGATGCAATAGTTAGCAGGGTTAAATTTGGTTAAGGGCTGAGAGGCTCTGCAAGTCAGTTCCCTGTTACCTCTCCCTGCTCTAGAATCTTGGACAAGATTCTAGGAGCAGTGGGCAGGGCTGAGAAGGGGCTGGCTAGCACACTTAGGGGACCCTGGGCAATGCCCAGGCATAAGGCTTGGCATGGGGCTTGGGCAGCCCTTCAATGTGACAGAGCCTGCTCAGTCAGCAGGACGGCTTGGGTGGAAGATGGAATGAGAAGGCTGAGGTGCAGGAAGCTGAGAGGGGGCCCAGTTGGGAAGGGGCTCATTTCCAGGCAGTAGTGCAGGAGAGAAGGAAAGCTCAGACCTCATGGACTCCCAGAGCGAGGACCACCTGTGCAGCAGGGAAGGAGTCAGCACAGCAGAAGGTTCAAAAGCAGCTACCAACCCACCAGCTCATAGGGACAGGACTGAGTGAGTAATCCTAGTAATTCCACACCCCCTTGGTCAGTTAAGGGGAAAAAAACACTCTGATGGGAAACTGGGTTAGCACCTTGCCTGGGACTGCTCACCTTAAAGTGACAGGCACTGGATTCCCTGCCCAGGGATTCCTTCAGACTGCTGGATAGAGGAGGATTATCTGGGGTCTGGGGTGCTACACCAGGAGAGGCCAGAGAGCTCTCCAAGAAAATGTTGCTGTGTAAAGGCTTGTACATACAGTAGTTCCAGGAAGTTGTCCTCAGTTGCAGTTCCCTTGGGCATCCCATATACCCATTACCCCATCCAAGTTCTAAACCCCTTAGTAAAATATAAAAAAAAGCAAGCTGAAGGACTGGTTACTGTCTCCTGAATAAAAGTCTTAGGAATGCGTGTTGCCTGGCTGTGCAGGACTTTAGGGGGACCCAAATCTCCATCAACTCCTAAGAGGCTAGTGCTACATTTGTTAAAATCCTTGCAATGTACATTGATTGAATCCTACTGTATTCTGAAAGCAGGGAATACACCAATCAGCGCTGCCAGCTATAGCCTGAGATGCTGATTGAGTGGGGAAAATTTGACAGAGTGGTTGTACAGAAGGCATCGATATATCGACTTCTGTAGAGCCTCTCTGACCATGCATGGTTTGAAATTTGTCTGGTCCTTGCTGAACCAGCCGAAGTTCAATCCATGCATGGCCGGCTTAAGTATTTTCTTTCATAGCATTTTTTTTTTGTGTACAGTGAGCTGAGCAGCTCAATTTACAGTTTTAGCACAATTATTTGCCGAGACAAAGTAACTCCTGTGCTCAAGTGGTCGAAAACTCTAAATCCCAAAGAAAGACCAGGAGAAGATTGTAACAATGAAAGGGGTTACGAACATCACAGAGCTGTAGTGGAATCACATTGGTCGGTAAATCTGGCATAATGTGATAATATGCTGTGCAAACAAGTGCATTATGGCTAAAAGTTCCTGAATGCCCAATTTTTTTAATTTTTTTGCAGGTGGTTTACTTTCACTTTAAACCACTTGTCATAACCAAATTTTATGACAAGTCGCACACAACCTTCCTCAGTATTTCACTTGCAGAAGTTCTGCATTGTATTCATTATTTTTTAAACAAGAAACTTGACTTAGGTGCTTGTCATAACTGAAGGCTTATTTCATGAAAGATCTAGTAATTCAGAAAATAGACCAGTGTTCTTACTGTTCCTGACATATCCGGGCTGCGGTGATCCATGTGGCCTTCTGCTCAGTGATGTGCTTGTAGCAGCTGCTGTCACGTGGAGTCCAGCCAAATGGACATTTTGTTGCCTGAAATATATACAATTTATAATTAATAGAAAAAATGGCTTTTTTCCAGGAAACTGGCTCAACCACCTTAGCCTGAGCACAGCTGAATAACAGAGCTTATGTGAAACCACAATGTGGAAACTGCTTTAATATGACCATATTGTGTTTAGCTGGAGATACATCTCTAGGAAAAGGCTGTTAATTACTAGAAATCGTAAACCATAAATACATCAAAACAGAGGAAGAAAGAAACCCACCACACACCCACTCTCATCCTTTGAAGATATTTTGTTTATAACAGTTTTTTTTTGCATAACTTATATCTTTGAAATGTTACAAAATAACAGATTGATAAACAGGTCATACAATAGAGTTTACGTGGCAATGCCATATTTTATGAGAATGTCTGTACGTATACCAAGCCTTTTTTTTAAATTACTTATTCCTTACCATGCCACACTAGATGCAGCCCTATCTATGGCTTAAAGTAGAACTTCACCCAAAAAGAGAAGTTCTGCTCTTCCTCCACCACCCCCATCCCCCCCCCTCCCCCGCCATACTGTACTTGTTCTTTTTTGGTGGGGGGAGTGGTTACCTAGTTTTATCAGGTACCCAATCCCACTTCCATTTGGATCACCTAAGCTATTCCCCTGGAAGTTCGGCTCCCCCCCTCCATGCCCAAAACCTTCTGGGATATGTCACAGGTTCCAGGAGGCTGTGGGAACATTCACATTGCACAGGAGTCACAGATGGATTCCCACAGTTAACATATGGCTGTGAGCCTGAAGACCTGAAGAACTGGCCTAGGTGAGGATCCCCAGACAGGTGAGTGTCTGTTTAATAAAAGTCAACAGCTACAAAAACTGGGACTTTTAATTTTTGGAACCCTTGTTAAAGCTCCTTTTTAACTGTGACCATGTCTGCCCACATGGGTGCTATGGGGCCAGGGTGGTGGGAGACAGGGTCTAGAAGAGAATCTGTCCAGGCAAATTAAACATGGAAAATCTGAATGTCAAAATATCACAGATTTGTTACTATAAAATTAAGAGCTGACAACAAATGCACAAGAGATTCATGATAACTAATCACAGCTGTTTCTGTAATCAGCAAACAACATTTTTTCAAAATTTACTGGGTGGCAGTTCAGTCAATTCTTCCTCATGTAGGTGTGGATTTATTGCCTTCAGAGCTTCTACTGCGGCTCACCTGACCAACACTCTGAAATTAACCCTAGAAATCCTTACACAGTTTCCTGGGGCTGTAAAAATTCCCATAGGTTTTACCATAAATTTAATTAGTCGTGTGCAGGAGACTAAAAATGTAATAATATAGTTGTTATTATTGCTGCTACAACTGTTATTTTTTCTGCCAACTACTGAATCACCTCTTTCAGCACTTGCTAAGGCAGTAGAAGGGTGGGAGGCTTTAAAATTTACATTAAGATCCCAAGATATTATAAGTTATTCACAGCATTGGTTTCTAGTTATGTACTGACAGCTCTCCTATCTCTCAATGATTTAGAAATGCTTTATATTAAGATTAAAGACAGTATTGTCTGACCACCAGGTCACTGGGGAGCCACTTCAAAACTGTGCTATGGGGCTCCATGATCTACAGGTATACCCCTGAACCCAGTATGTATTGCAATTCTATATATCCTATTAAAGTACAATTTTACATATCTAATAATTGTAAGGTTAATACAATATTTATTTAGTAGAGACCAACCAGCCATTTTCAGCTTGCTGTTTCTGATGCTTTCTGAAACTGTTGTATAGGGTTCTGATATTAGGATATTAAAGAAGTGGAAGATTACATATTATCTCTGACACTGATGTTTCCAATTAAAAAAAACAAAAAACAAAACATCACTTTCCTTATAAACATTTGTCATATTTAAACTTGACTTCAGTAAACTGACATTTGATTCTCTGCTATTTATTTTTAAAATCATGCCTTACCCTTCTTCCTTAAGTAGAACCTTTAGGTCCCAAAATATAAAAACATTTGTTGACACTTATTCCCTAAGGCAAATAAAAACCTGCCAGAATCCCCATATATAAAATGCTGATATAAAGTGGACCATGCCACTAACCTACCAGAAATGACTCAATCACTAGAAATTCTATCACTTTCCTAAAACTTTGGAGAGCATCACAAACTTGTCAGCAAAATGTCAAAAATTTATTTTTGAATCTGTAATATTTAGTTCCCTCTAAAGAGTAATCACAACATAAAGAATCACTAGTACCTTGGCATTAGCTCCCCCATATGTTCCATGATATACCATCACACTGGTAAAGCTTTTGACTTTTATCATCAAAATGCAAGAGTCCTTTTAAATCTGGTGTACATTCCTTAGGAAAGGTCATTCCTTTTTCCTATGGCATAATAGATAATAGTCAAAGTTAGATTTTAATGAATAAACAATATTTTTCTATTAAAGGCGGGATATATTTTGAACTAACACAACACACACTTTTAATGCAGAACTAAAGTGCTTTTAAATTTGCTAGCAGGTAGGCTTTCTTTGCAGAGAAAAGGCCTTAGACGCTAGCAATTTTCTTCTGAATGTACAGTGATGCTAACATTTGGAGTTCTGTGTAAATTTTTGGCATTACTTTGGTGCTGGTTGCATGTGTGCTTGGGCGTCGACAAGGTGGTAAGGGGGATTATGAATGTTGCATTTTTTTTTGGGGGGGGGTTGGAAGCAAGGCCTTTATGTTAAAAAAAGTTCCCACCTACAACATTGTGGACTTTAGTCCCACTTCAGGGCCTGTGGTGATGGGCTTTTGTTCACTTCTAGCTAGTTTTGCATTCCTATACAAGGCTATGGGAATGCCAAAACCTGCCTGATTCAGGCTAGTTACAGGTCAAAATGATGTCAACTGTAGGTCAACAAACCATAATATGTCCTTCCATATTTTATGTATTACAAAACTCAGTCAATATTACTGTAAAAAACAGCCACATACCTGTTTAGCAGTATCAGAATATATGGCCCTGTCTGACTGTGGAAGTTCTGTGTTCTGTGCAGGGACTTTCATTCTCTTCTGGCCATGACTCCTTACTGATAACTTGGCTGTCTGGGTTGAGTTAAATGATGGCTTTTCTTCTTCTACTTTAAGTGACACCATACTGTGATACTACATACAAGTAAAAATGTGTTGCTTTAAATAAAAATTAATATTTTATGCAATGCACATCAGTTAACCTAAGGCATATTACTTTAACCACTTCCCAACAGTGCTATAGCCAAAAGATGGCTCAGTATGGCTGGCTAGTTCTGGGAGGGCATGCATGGACGTTCTCCCAGTACCACACCCCCCATGCACTCCTTGGGGTGCACGCTGTGCATGATCTGTGATTGCTGTGTCCTTCGGACATAGTTGATCACGTGCCCAATCAGAGCCACCTTTTACATGTGACCAGCTGTGTCCAAACACAGCTGATCACATGTAAACAGGAAATGCCAATTACTGACAGCACGAGAGGAGAGTCGGTAAGCAGAATTTCTTAGGGGACATCTACACTGATCATTAGGGCACTGATCATCAGTGCAGCCAGTAGTGCCCATCTGTGCTGGTTTTCAGTGCCTATCTGTGCTGGCTTTCAGTGCCCATCTGTGCTGGCTTTCAGTACCCGTCAGTGCCACCTATCAGTGCCGCCTATCAGTGCCCATCAGTGCAGCCTCATCAGTGCCTCCTCATCAGTGCCCATCAGTGCAGCCTATCAGTGCCCATCAGTGCCGCCTATCAGTGCCCATCAGTGCCACATATCGTGCATCCTCATCAGTGCAGCTTATCAGTGCCCATCAGTGCAGCCTAACAGTGCCCATCAGTGCAGCCTCATCAGCGCACATCAGTGAAGGAGGAAAATCGCTTATTTACAGCACTTTTTAACAGAAACTAAAAAAAACTTTTTTTTTTTTTTTTTTTTTTTACAATTTTTTGTTTGTTTAGCAAAAAATAAAAAACACCAGTGGTGCTAAATATCACCAAAAGAAAGCTCTTTTGTGTCAAAAAATTGCTAAACATTTCATATGGGTACAGTGTTGCATGACCGTGCAATTGTCGTGCAAAGTGTGACAGCGCAGAAAGCTGCACATTGGCCAGGGCTGGAAGGGGGTGAAAGTGGGTAGGCAAGTGGTTAAAGTGGAACTTTACTCATAACAACTTGATAAAAAAATAATATTCTGTAGCAAGGAACATACATTCCACAATAATAATTATGCCACCAAAATTAGTGTGTGCTTTAAATTGCCTCCAACATTGTTTCTTCTTGCTTTCAAACGCTAACACACACTGAGCTAGTTCATATCACCCTCCCAATCCTCAGTTACTTACTTACCTAGTGCTTGTTAGCTACTAAGTAGTTAGTGAGTGTAAAAGCTCATAGGGATTGATTTACTAAAACTGGAGAGTGCAAAATCTGGTGCAGCTGTGCACGGTAGCCAGTCAGCTTCCAGGATTATTTTGTCAAAGCTTAATTGAACAAGCTGAAGTTAGAAGCTGATTGGCTACCATATGCAGCTGCACCAGGTTTTGTACTCCCCAATTTTAGTAAATCAACCCTTTTTGACTTTGGGGGATTTCTACCTTCCTTCAAAAGACACACAGGCAGTTGGAATAAGAGAACCAGCTGGGCGGAGGTAAATATCATTGCCAGATGTGGCTAGACTGGGTACCAAAATTAGTTAAATATGTAGCTGCCGAGGGGAGGAGTGGATTAGATCAGTTTATTAAATGTTTAGGTCAACTGTTTTATGTTTTCATGTGCATGTCTTGTAATATTTAGCTTTCACTGTTGAATGGTTACTTACTTGATAAATTGTATCAGTTCCTTTGTTGTATACAGATGAAGGCTTAACCTGAAAAGAGGAAGATAAAATATATTTTCTGTATATAAATAGATTGGATTACAGCAAGGCATTCCAAGATGTTTATACATATTACAGTGGTGTCTTCTGAACGCTGAGAATATTGCATGTGCCAATTTCACAGTAAAAACCAGAAGAAACACACGAAAGAACACAGCTGACCAACAGAGATCAGTCTAAGAATAATACAGGCATACCTTAGTTTACAAATTTAATTTGTTCTGCGGGACTTTTCGTATAGCAAACAATTTGTAAACCGAAACCCTGTTTCCTATAGGAATGCATTGAAAGCCAATTAATCCGTTCCTGAGGTCAGAAAAAAGTAAACGCTACTAAAATACTGCATGAGTTCTTTTATCAAGTCATGCAGTATTTTAGTAGTGACAACCATGTGTTAATGTTTCAGCTGTCAGCGGGGTTCCCCACTAACAGCTGAATGTAAAAGAATTTCCGGCAATTAAAAAAATTAGTAAATAAATGCCATGGGGGTTCCCCTCAAAATCCATACCAGACCCAAAGGGCTTATTTATTATGGTGCCGGTTTTTAAATGTAATTACCACTTTTTTTTTTCTTCACTATAGCTCAGAGATTCAGCTCTCACTTTTCCCCCAGCTAAAAGAGAATGTTTTCTTTTAGTTTATTTCCCCAAGTTAAAAGAAACACTGTTTCCTTTTAGTTTCTTCAAAGAAATAAAGCTTCCTTTAACTCTGGGGAAAGCGACAGCTCTGTGAGCTATAGTGAAGAAAAAAAAAGCTGGCAATTGCATTTAAAAGTCGGCACCAACATACACTTCGTATTGCAAAAATAATTCAGAAAAAATTCATAAACTGAGGCATTATTTTCAATGGATTTTCATTTGGAAACCGAAAATTCTGTTAACCGAGGCGTTTGTAAACTGAGGTACACCCAGGGGCGAACTGGCCATTTGGAAACTCGGCACTGCCCGAGGGCCCGTGGTCAGTAGGGGGCCCCATGAGATGTCCCTGGTACCTTTTTCATAGGCTTTTTTGAGTTTGAGCAAGGTCACATGGGTCCCATGATCCCCCATTTCCCCGGGGGCCCCATGAGTTGTCAGTCTGCCCCTGGGTACACCTGTACATTAGCATAGCTCTTTTCTCAACTTACAGGAGCAATACTGTAACAGTTTGACAGTGCATGTTGATGTGTCTCTTTACAGTATATAATTAAGTGGAAGAAAACTTTAAAGGATAAGTTCACCTTTTTACACCAAACTAATAAATGCACATGTTTTTGCAGGTAAAAAAATGTGCATTTATTATTTTTGTCTGCAGGAGCCTGTAAGCCATTGCACCAGCGTTCAGCAGATTACTGGTGCCATGCAGGTCTCCTGCAGATCTGTCAGTATATCTGCTTGCCTGTTCAGGATGTACAGGCAAGCAGCTATACTGACAGGACAATTCAATGAACTACTAAGACACTCCACAGTGCCGTGGTAATTAATTGAAAACTACAAGCCCACAGCCTCTGAGGCTGTCGGGACTTGCAGTTCATTCACTCATGAAACTCTGTAAATGTATGACATGGCTGTGTAGGCAGAGTCCCGCACAGCCACCCTGTTTTCAAATCTGACAGATAATACAGGGATCTTCTCCCCGTAATTCTATCACAAGGAGGGGGGGGGGGGGCAGCGAGCAGCGGCTGCAGCAATGGGGACATGTTACATGTTCCACCCTAAAATTGAGTGGAATATGTAATATGTTCCCAGAGGTGAACTTATCCTTTAACTATAGCTATTCTTAAAAATGTTCTTTCCGCCCTCCTCCTGCCAATCCTGCCTAACCTGTAAATAGAAAGATCTGTTTACTTACCTGTGTTTGCAGCTCAGGGATCGCTTGACAAAGGTTAGGAAGTCTAGGAACTGTGATGTCACCCCTAGACTCCCCTAGCCCAGCTGTTGTTGGCACTCCCCTTCTCCCCTGCAGCAGCCGCTCACTGACACAGGAGAGATGAGCTGTGGGATCACGTGACTGGACCAGAACATATAAAAAAAATAGGCAAGTATACATATTTTTTTATTCAGGTTAGGCAGGATAGTTAGCAGAAGTGGAGACAGAACATTTTTAAGATTAGTAAAACTTAGGCTTTTCTTCCACTCTAATATTGCTGGGAATACATCCCAAACCTGATCACTAAAGCCTCATATAAGCTTTAACATGTTAATGTAATCTGAAAAGTAATTTTAATCATTTTTCAACTTGCAGGTTTCGTTAAAATACCATCTGAGGATCTTGCTATGAATATCCTTGTTCAGGCACTTCCTGTCATGGGGTGACAACACTCCTTGTCTCTTGTTTTTTTTTTCTTCAGCGTTGTCACCCTGTTCTGCCAACGTTTGATGGAGGCACATTATGTAGGCATGGTCCACTGTTGTCAGGAAACCTGACCTGAGAAATGTTATGCACCCATCACTGAGGTGCATGTACCTGTATGTAGTATTGATTGTATATCATATTGTATATGATTAGGCCCACACAAGGCTGAAACATGTAAGTAAAGAAGGATACCTGTTTTTTAAATCCTGTATTAAATAAAGGAGTATTATGATCCCACTAGAGTGTGCCGGTCTACAACTTCATATTGCTATTGTGGCTGTCAGGAGCCTCCCAAGCATCACACACTTTGCACCAGATCTACACTGACTTTCAGACTGAGCAGAGGCTGGTATTTAGTTATGTAGTATTGCAGTGGCTGCTATTTAGTTATATAGTATTGCAGTGGCTCCTATTTAGTTATGTAGTATTGCAGTGGCTGCTATTTAGTTATGTAGTATTGCAGTGGCTGCTATTTAGTTATGTGGTATTGCAGTGGCTGCTATTTAGTTATGTAGTATTGCAGTGGCTGCTATTTAGTTATGTAGTATTGCAGTGGCTGCTATTTAGTTATGTGGTATTGCAGTGGCTGCTATTTAGTTATGTAGTAGTGCAGTGGCTGCTATTTAGTTATGTAGTAGTGCAGTGGCTGCTATTTAGTTATGTAGTATTGCAGTGGCTGCTATTTAGTTATGTAGTAGTGCAGTGGCTGCTATTTAGTTATGTAGTATTGCATTGGCTGCTATTTAGTTATGTAGTAGTGCAGTGGCTGCTATTTAGTTATGTAGCATTGCAGTAGCTGCTATTTAGTTATGTAGTAGTGCAGTGGCTGCTATTTAGTTATGTGGCATTGCAGTAGCTGCTATTTAGTTATGTAGTAGTGCAGTGGCTGCTATTTAGTTATGTAGTATTGCAGTGGCT